GGAGGGTGGCGGTGGGCGATGGCGCCAGGGAGGGGCAGAGAAGGAAGTGGCTTGAACAAAGGCTAGGGGCAGAAAAAGGCAAAGAGGACTGAGGAATGGTGGGAGTGTGGCATCTGCCCTGTGAGGGTAAGTGCGGAGGCCAGGTGGGGAAAGTCATTACTCAGTGGAGGGAAGTAGGCTGTGACCACCTTGCTGGGACGCTCTCGGTAGATCATGGGATCCAGTGCAGGATTCCGAGCACCAAGTGATGTGATCTGACACCTGGACCAGGAACCATGCTGTGGCCACTAACGGCAGGACAGCTGGAGGTGGGGAGAGGGACTCAGGTTCACCTGCTCAGAGGATGTTGTAACAAGTTGTTCTTGGAAGAAGCAGTGAGGGACCCATGGCAGGGCCAGGGAGTGGTTGCAGGAGGGAAGGGAGGACCCTGATGGCGCTGGAAGGGGCCCCTGCACCAGGTGAAGGTTGCTGGAGGCCGTTGGAGGAGGTGCGGCAAGAGTTTGGTGTGGGTTTGGGGAAGAGGGAGAAGGAGGAGCCTCCACGTGGCTTAGCTGTGGAGGGGAGGGGGCTGCCGAAGGGGTGTGGGTTTGGGTTAGGCCTGCTGCACGTGAGGTGACAGAGCAAGGACAGCAAGGCCCACCTGTATCTCCCATTGCCACTGCCACCCTCCGAGGGCCAGATGTCACCCCTTCATCTTACCTCCCTGCTGGGGCAGGAGGAGTGGCCAGGCTGCCACGGACACTTTTGAGGCCAGCATGTGATGATGACACCAGGGATGAGAGGAGGAGGGGAGGGAAAGGAGAAGAGAAAGGAGGGAGAGGACAGAGCAGGAAAACAAAGGAAAGGAGGAGGAAAGTATGGGTGAGGAGGGGAGGGGACTGGGCGTGGGGGGGAGGGAGGGGGAGGAGGGACTTGGGACAGAGCCCCACTCATGGTGAGGGAGGGCAGAAAAGAGGAGCAGATGTGACCGCCTTGATCAGCCAGGTACACAGACCACAACCAGAGCAACAGCACCTGAGACACACACAGGGGCTTTCTCTAGTTTTGTTTCTCCCCACATACACCCCGAAGCACAGGAGGGTTTCTTTAAAAACAACTACGCAAATCAACACAGAGCAGGTGTATTTACAAGCTCAGTAGGCTTAGCCTGGGTCCTTAATTGGTGTTCAAAGAGAGGACACTGGGCCTTTTGTTAGGTACCTTGTCTGCTCTGGAGCACTCCCCAGGACTATGACAGAACAGCCCATTTTACAGAGGAAGAAACTGAGGCTCAGACTGGGTCCAACACTCCCCCAAGACCCCACAGCTGGTAAGTCACAGAGGCAGAATCTGAACACAGGCAGGTCTGTCTCCAGATGCAGAGACCCTCCAGGACAAGGCAGCCCTTGGCAGGGACGGCGTGGCCCTCCCACTTCCTACGTGTCCGGACCCACCCCAGCAGGTTCCGCTGCAGTGGCATGTTCAGGAGACCACAAAGGCCGTTTCTTCTCAGTTGTCTGAAATCAGGTGGTTTTTTTGTTTTTTTGTTTTTTTTCCAATAAACATTCACTTAAAGTCTCCTTCAAGACGAATTCTGTTGCTGACAGGACATCATCGGAGGTGACTGGTTTGCATTCTCCCAGCTGAGGGGTTGGGCCCGCCTCTGACAGAACTGATGGTCAGAGCAGACTTCCCGGAACTGATTTTTCTACTTGAACTGGCTCTTTTCACGTGTGATTTGTGATTGATTAGACGGGCAGAGGTTGGGAATATTTAATTTGGGCTCACTGATTACACTGGTTATGTAGAGGTCCAATTGGAAGCTGGGGCTTAAGAAAATGAAATAGAAATGAACTACACAGAATTTCCTAGAATTTTCAAGATTTAGTGGTAGATTTTCCGGGGCTGGTCCTCATTTGAGTTGCTCCTCACGCTTCTGGATTGCTAAGGTCAGGGAAAGCCAGGGGGTACCACGGGGAAGGCCTGGAAAAGGTGGTCAGATGCTACCTTTTTAAAGACTATTATAACAGAAAATGCATTTGGCCAATAGGAGAGTAGTGAGCCCCTGCCGTGGTCAGAGGCTGGAGACACAGATGAGTCAGTCTGCTCCTGTCAGCCATGCTAGGCGTTTTTCACAGAGGGGATCCAGTATAGGGAATTGCTTACACAGAAGATGGGAAAGTTTAGAAGCCTCGTAAGAGATGTGAAGCAGCTGGGAACTTAGTAGGAAGCTGCCAGTATCACCCTGAGGGACAGAGGGATCAGGAGGAAAGTGGTTATCAGAAGCCAGGCTGCCAGGCAGGGCTGGACCTTGGGGGGTGAGGTGGGGTATCAGAGGAGACCAAAAAACACCCCCAAAACAGAAGAGGGAGGAAGAGATGGAGAAACACTCTGGCTTTTCCTTTCTTCTCACTTGCCAACCTCCCATCTGGGCTCCCATGAGTTGAAGCTAGCCCAAAGCCTGCCGCCAGGAAGCCTGGGAAATATAGTTCCCTGCAGGGCAGAGCAGCACAGGGAAAGGAGGGGAAGATGTCTGATAGCAAATGCACACTGAGGGGCACTCATGGGAGCAGCCCCCAGGCCCTGCCCTCCAAGAGCTCCCAGTCTGACTCCAGCCATCTCTCAAGTAAAGGGAAGAGGGGAGGGGGTCATCATCAACTGACCCCTCCTTGTGCCATGTGGTGTGCACGTACAGTAGCTCTCGTAGTCCTCAATGCGACCTTGAACGGCAGTACCATCCCCACTTTGCTTTACACAGGAGGAAACGGGGGCTTGGCAGGGTCAGGGTTTGGATGCAGCCTCACAGAGCTCAGGCTCCTGTTGGCATTCCCAGGGCCTGTGGCTGCCTTACTCCTGACATTCATCAGTCTTTGGGCAAATGTGACCTTTTCCAAGTGCAGACAAACCTTAATCCCAGTCTTGAAGGATGATGAAGTTAATAAAAGAAAGCACTTATTGAATTGAAACGAAACTATTTTATTCGCCTTAATTACTTTTAGCTCCTATTAAGTATTTAAAAGCTCAATGGAAATGTTTTCTTTTATTAAAGTTCACTCTTTCAAGCTTAAAAAGCAGTGGAAGCCTCTCTAACACTTCCCCAGAGCCCAGGGCCTTGGCTAATCACAATCGCACAGGCTGGACCACAGGTCTAGCAGGTGTGCTTACATGTGTCCGGGCAAGCGTGAGATATGGGTGACTCTGAACCCCGGCTCTGCGGCACTTCTCACACTGCAGTTATTTAGTGATTTGGTTTACCTCTGGTTCATTGCCAATCCCATCCTCCTGGACCACAAACTCCGCAAGGGCAGAGGCGGTCCTGGTTTGTGTCCTGCTTTCTGCAGCCGCCGGTGCCAGCTGCTGCCTCTGCCCTTCGCCTGTCTGGACCGCAGACACAGTCAGCCAGGAAGTATTTATCCAACACACATTGGTGCCAGGGCCTGGGACAGATGCAGACATTTTTCTTCATCAACCTGTTCATTTCGGAAGCATTTATTGATCATCTATTCTGAACCAGACCCAGCGAGCAGCCAGGCACTGATGGGATAGTGGGAAACAAAGCAGCCATGTTCCCTCCCAAAGTTTGCTTCTAAGCCTTACAGCCTTGTAAGGCAGGCATCATTATCCTCATTTTATACACAAGGTTCAAACAGGGTGAGAAGAATTCCAAAAGCACATTCCTAATTTGGCAGTGACAGGACCAGGAATCTCACCTCTTCCTTCCTCCTCTCCTTGCTGGGCCCGGCGGGAGGCAGAGAGAGAACCTGCAAATTAACTAGAGAAATCAGAAGATGCTGTTGCTTTATGTGTTTCTCCTAATAAGAGAAGAAAATGAAAGGCCCTTATAATCCACTAGCTGTGGATAAACAAGATCTTGTCTGTAAGGCCCTCACCCCAGTGCCTGGCAGGTAACAGTCACACAACAAACCGTGGCCAAGACAATAGTCTGCAATTACTTTTTCTAAAAAAACAAAATGGGACCATTTTTTCTAAAAGCCGAAAAGGACCAATTTCTCCCCCCAGGGACGATCAGCATTGTCTGCAGACATTTTTGGTTGTCATAACTAGGGGTGTGTTGTCATTGACATCTAATGGGTAGAGACCAGGGACGCCGCTAACCTTCCTACAATGCACAGCACAGACCGCACAGCAAAAAATGTTGTGGCCTAAATGCTGGGAGTGCAGGAGATGAGAAGCTGGCCTAGGGGGGACTTTTCTTGAGTCATTAATTATTTTTTATAACCCATTATTTTCAGTGGACACAGAACAATCGATTGCATGGCTGATGGTCTAGAATTAGTTGGTCTAGAATTAATTTTTTCTTGTAAGCAAAGTGTAGGACTAATTTGCTTTATCCCAGCTTCACAGGCGGGCTTCGGGGTGTTGCCACCATTTGGCTCCTCGCACCCCGCCTCGATCTCGTTGGCTCTCTCAGGGACCATGGAAGACTTGGACAAGATCTGCTTCTTTGCAGAAAGAGTCAGGAATCCTGAGATTTAGTTCCTATTTTTAAGTGATCGCCCCCCTCCCAGTTCCTTCTCTCCAGATCACAGGCCTGGAGGCTCCTCTTCGCCCCATTATGACCTTTGGGGAATGTTAATGCACTTCCAATAATGGGAAATCTGGAAGCCAGCATCATGTGACATGGGCCCAGCCAGATTAGAATGGCTTCAAATCCCTTTAGACTTAATGAACAATGACCTGATTGGAACTGTAGGGATAATTAGAAAATACAGGGCTGCTTTCTCTAATCAGGGTGAGGTTCTGGGACTGCGGAGGCGTCGGCTGGGAAGCTGCTACATTTTCTTGAACAGGTGAGGCTACAGAAGACCTTCCAGAGTCGAGACTCTAGTCCCTTTGGCCCACCTAGGCCAGAGATCAGGGTCCTTAGTTTGTTGTATGCAAATTGTACTTCCATAGACCCCCTTTTTTTTTTAAGACTCTATAGTGGGAACCTGGTTATAACTCCCACTGTAAGGGTAAAGATTTCAATAAAATTCACTGAACTGGAACCAGGAGGAAACTTAGTGGTCATCTGACACCCCTCCCCCTGCTAGAAGCCAGAGAAGGGACTTGCTAAGATCACTTAGTAATGAGGAGGCTGGGACTTGAATTTAGATTTTCCCAACTTTCATTCCAGAGCACTTCCCAATTCCCATGGGACCTAAGGAACCTAACCTCCCTGTTGAAGGCCATGCTGCCCCCTCCACACTCTCATAGGGAGAAATCACAAAGTACAGCATTGGGTCAGGGGTCACTAAAAGGACCACCTAACATTTGTGAAATAACTTTCAGTTTGTACAGCATTTTCATACCTGATATTGTACGTAATCTTCATAAGAACCAGGAAGAAAAGGAGATATTGTTAAAATGCCCTTGGCGGATGAGGAAGCGGAGGCACCAAGGGTTAGGAGATGTTCCCCAGGTCACCCAGATTGTTAACAGTAGAGCAGGCCCTCAGGCAAAGTTCTCCTAACCCACGTCCCAGAGCATCCCCCACTGCCGGGGGCCCACATTTATTCCAGCCCCTGAGATTCCAAAAGGCAGGAGAAACCCCAGGATGCCCAGAAATCCCTGGTCGAGGCCACCCAGGTTTGGAAGACTCCTTTGAAAAAAGAGAGAAAGAGCTCTGAAAGAACAAGGCGCCCTCTGGCCTGGAGGGTGGGCATCTCAATGGCCAGAGGGGCCCAGAGCCTTTCACTGGCACCTGGGAAGGAGGGCTCCTTGTCCAGGGCAGGGGAATAGAAGGGATATTCCTTCACTCTGGTTCTCCCATCAGAAGAAGAAGAAGAAAGAAAAAGGCCACATCGCCATCTCCCTGCACCCCTCCTGGAGCAAAGGTTAAGCCCCACCAGCCCACAAGTGGACTCTGCCCCTTGGCTGCTTTGAAAACCAGCTTGTTTAAAGTCCTGTTTCCAATCCCTTATTTTGCACGAAACATCAGCAGGAAAACTTCTTGGAAAGAACCACGTCCTCCAGTGGACCAGTCAGTGTGCCTGCCTTAATGGCGCTGACGGCCCAGTTGGCAGCTCCTGTGCCCATCCACCCAGATCTGCTCGGGTGGGCTTCACTGCCATGTTGCCCTGGGGGAGCTGCCCCAGCCTCTCTGCATAGGGATGTCCTTCCTCTCTCCCTCCTCCCTGTCCCTGTCTGTCATACCCACGCCGGGAGCACTTTGTCATTAACTAATAGTGGGAAGTCATGGGACAAATGTACATAAAAGTGGGAAAGGAAAAGGTGAAAAAGCAGAGCCTGCAGGTGGGGAGCAGGGGAAGAGCTGGGTGCCAGGGAGCAGTTGCCTGGGGACAAGTCTAGCACCAAAGTTCCAGGATGTGCATGTGGCGAGGTTGT